AGAGGAGGGAGGAGGAAGAGGAGGAGAGGAGGAGGAGAGGGAGGAGGGAGGAGAAGGGAGGAGGAGAGGAGGAGAGAGGAGGAGGAGGAGGAGAGGGAGGAGGAGAGGGAGGAGGAAGAGGAGGAGAGGGAGGAGGAGGAGGGAGGAGGAGAGAGAGGAGGGGAGGAGGAGAGAGAGGAGGAGGAGAGAGGGAGGAGGAGAGAGAGGAGGAGAGAGAGAGGAGGAGAGAGAGAGGAGGAGGAGAAGAGAGGGAGGAGGAGAGGAGGAGGAGGGGGAGAGCGAGGAGAGAGGAGGAAGAGAGGGAGGAGAAGAGGAGCAGGGAGGAGGAGGAGGAAAGAGGAGGAGGAGGAGAGGAGGAGGAGAGAGAAGAGGAGAGGAGGAGGAGGAGAGAGAGAGGAGGAGGAGAGGAGAGAGGAGGAGAGGAGGAGGAGAGAGGAGGAGGAGAGGAGGAGGAGGAGAGGGGGGAGGAGGAGAGAGAGGATGAGAGAGGAGGAGGAGAGAGAGGAGGAGGAGGAGGAGAAGGAGAGAGAGGAGGAGGAGGAGGAAGAGAGAGGAGGAGGAGGAGGAGGAGGAGGAGGAGGAGGAGGAGGAGGAGAGAGAGAGGAGGAGGAGAGAGGAGGAGGATGAGGTGAGAGAGGAGAGGAGGAGGAGGAAGGAGAGGGGAATGAGGAAGGGAGGAGAGGAGGAGGAGGAGGAGGCGGAGGAGAGGGAGGGAAGAGGGAGAAGAGGAGGAGGAGAGGGAGGGGAGGAGGAGGAGGAGAAAGAAGAGGAGGAGGAGGAGAAGGAGAAGAAGGAGAAGGAGGAGGGGAGAAGGAGGAGGAGGAGAAGGAAGGGAGGAGGAGGAAGAGATGAGAATGAGGCATGAGGGAGAGGAAGAGGAGGAGGGGAATGAGGAGAATAGGAGGAAGAAGAAGAGGAAGGGAGAGGGCGAGGAGGAGGAGGAAGAGGAAGAGGAGGAGAATGAGGAGAAGAAGAAGAGGAGAGAGGAGGAGGGCGAGGAGGAGGAGGTGAGGAAGAGGAAGAGGATGAGGAAGAAGAGGAGTAGGATGAGGAAAAGGAGGAGGAGGAGGAGGAGGAGGAGGAGGAGGAAGAGGAGGAGGAGGAGATGGAGGAAGGGGATGGAGAGAGGAGGAGGAGAGAGGAGGGGAGGGGAAGAGAGATTGAGGAATGAGGGGAGGAGGAGGGGGGGGGGTAACGCGCTGAGCAGCTCCAGCATCACTGAACTGCACGGGTTGTTTGTTTATATATTTGATACTCTTTTTCGTGGTAACTTAATCCGAATTTTAAGATACCTGCGCATGCTTTGTTTATAAACATTCACATACTGTGACGAAAGAAATTGAATGAATAAGAATTTAGAGTATTTGAAGCAGATGTATAACGAATGATAGTCACATCTTCAGCCTCCTATATCTGCTTATTTCCAAGTGGCTTAACCCTAAGCTGGAAAGGTTAGCGAGAGATGCTGGTCATATAGAATTAGTAGGGAGCCTTAGGTTAAATAGACGGTGTCATGCATTCTAAACTTTCCCGCCAGCAACAGACAACTTGCTACTTTTATATCATAGTATTTAATTCTCCGAGCGTGGAAAGGAATCGAAATGATATTCTTAATTTTTTGATACACGTTAGCTTAGAAAATAAAGTTGTCAGATACATAGTACGATGTTTATATCTCAGTAATGTCCCTTAGTTATTTGATGTTTGTCTTCGCAAGATAAAAAGGAAGAAAAAAACTGCCTGGAAACTGTTTCAGTGGATCGCTCGAAACAGATTTCGTTTAACTTCGTCAACTGTCTTTAAGTTTAAATCACTTTCATTTTCATTTCAACTATGATTTATTTTCTTAGCTCGGCATCTAGTTGTGAAACTTACATATGCAATTTCAGTTTAATATGTGTTGGGGTTTCATACAGAAGTTAAATGTGCGCTTTCCAAAGCCGACAATCTATTTCACGATATGAAATAACGTAAAACTACTATCGCCTTCGTTATTGCCAAGCTTTCTTACCTCAGCTTTTGACATGTTATCATGAACACCCGAAAATGATGCTTGTGAAATGCTCTTTTTCGCTGCTGTGCATAGAGCGACGTCGACAAAAAAGGCTTGTGCGCGAAAAAGCCGGTTGGTGACATTCGGCATCGCCCTCCAGCACATGCGCTATAGCGGGGTTCGGAAGCAAATCAATGGGCAGTGTGCGTCTACTCTACGTGAGGCTAAGGCGGACGGCAGGGCCCTCTCTGTCGTCACCGGCCACTTAACTGGCTTGTTTAGGGTAGTTTAGAGGGTATATGAAGTGGTGATCGGGCAGCTGAGTTCGGAGGCCCGTGAGGTGTCGTTGTAGCGGGGGCGCAGGCGGGGAGTCGGGAGGAGCGACAGAATCAGTGTTGTTCCTGCTGGTGAAAAGTGTAGTGATCTGCCGCAGTGTGGTGTAGGTACAGTGAGTATAGTGAGAGGAGCAACACAACAGGCATAGTCTACAGTCTGTCATAGTGGCATCTGATGTTTTCTTGACATTCATAGTAGCACTTCCCACTTCCGTTTGAGTTGATACCTAAGAAAAAGGGAAAGTCAAACCTCTATGTAAATGGGAATGATTCGTCCTCTTTGAAAATCGAGTGTGTACGGAAAATAGTGTTGTCGACTGCTGAAAGGGCTGAGTGCAGCAGCATCAGGCCCACCGAGTGATCCTGTATTTTGGAGTCCAGGAGGAGTGCGCGGGGGAGTGACCATCATGGCGGAGGATGAGGTACTTTTCGATGACGTCTACGAAGTCTGCGAAATCATCGGAAAGTAAGTACTTTACTGCCAGTTTTGTGAGTCGTTTTAGTTACCGGGATGAAATAGAGGCGATGCTGCAATGCTCGCCCCGGGCTGTCAGGCGGTCGGGCGCGCGCGGATGGGTTGCCCACTTTCCCAGACGGCCGCCCGTGAGAGTGAATAAATTGGAAGACACGCGATGTTTAATAAACTGGTCGTTGATGAAACGTAAAACAAGCGTGTCATGTCCCCAAAGGCTTGGGAGTTGGCAAGGTCACGAGGCTGTTCGATCCAACGATTGTCAAGGAGCATGAGTGAGGCCACGTGACCAACCTCGTAAGGAGGGAGATGGAGTGTAGGCTCATCACGTGATTTGCTCGCTGTTGATCCCCTCATTCGAAGATTACGTGAGGGTGCCTCGCACCGATGGGCCATTTGCTTGTCAGGGACGACGCTATCCCAAACACTTGATTATCTGCAGTCTGTATACAGTTTTGATAAGGAAATGTGTGTTTTATTCGAGTAATGAAAAGAGGGCGGGGCTCCCGTACCGGGCATTGCTTCCACAGGAAAGAATGCGCCAGGGAGCCCTATCTTATTCTGACGTGCGGTAAATCGTATACATATTAGATCAGGCGGCCTTGTTAGACGCAAGGCAGACTGGCAGCCATCTGAGGGACAGGAGGCGAGAGAGTCAACAGGAAATATCAAGGTTAGGATGCCGTGATATTTCCTATGGGAAAACGCCTTTTTATGGGGGAGGTGTTTTTAAGGGTAAGCAGATCGGTGTGTTGTGTTTAATTGCTATCCTAATGAGAGTAATGTTTGAATTCCAAGAGTGAGTAGTTTCTGTTTTGTTTGACGATCTGCAATATATATAGAACATCCGATTTTCCTTTCTAAAACTTTGTGATATATTTTCCCACAATGAGCTTATTAGGGACCCAATAATAAGAAAAATGCAAACAACTTCCTAACATATGGACTCGTCGTTAATGTTTCTAGGAGAAGGTCACAGTTGAGAATATTAACGTTATTGAAGGTCACAGTGAGCCGAGGGCATCGTACAGGCGAAAGAACTATAATAACAGGAAAAAAAGATAAATAGGTTAGGGAAGAATAAGAGAGAGAAGGGGAAGAAGAGAGAGGTGGAGAAAGGGAAGGGAAGGAGGGGAAAGAGAAACGAAAGGGGGAAAGGGCAAGGAAGGGGAGGAACAAGATGGAAGGGGAAATAAGAAAAAGGGAAGAACAAGTAGAAGAAATGGAATGAGAGGGGAAGTAAAAGAAAGAAAGGAAATAAAGGAGAGGAAGGGAAGGAAAGTAAAAAAAAAAGACGTAGAAAACTGAAGAGTATTACAAATAAAGAGAAGAAAAAGAGAGAGAAGGAGAAGAGGAAGAAAAAAAAAGGGAAGAGAAAGGGGGAGCGTTACAGCAGGTGGACGAGTTTGAGTGAATTAGAGTAAGAACGCCGGCTTGTAATCGACATGTAAGGGAACGGGTTTCGGTTTTCGCTATTGTTTAGGGACAGGTTTGGTTGTGTGGGCGACGGGAAGGGTTTCGGCGGGGAGGTTAAGGGGAAAGATTGAATGCAGATAGGGGATAAGGTTGAATTAAATGGACGGGGGGAAGGTTTTTCTGTGAGCGGGGAAAATGCTGAAATAAATTGAACGATGAAGTTTATGAGTTTTTATATGTAGATGTATACAAATGAATATGAATATGAATATTTATACATATATATGTATATACATACACTAT